TCTGTTACGCTTCATATCGCTCTTTAATATGCCATTACCCCTTTCCGATCCCTTCCGTTACGCTTTATATCGCTTTGATGTGCCTTTGTATAACGCTTACTACGCCTCTAATAGTTATGCTCATTTGATCTCTTGTGCCTCACACGCTTATCACTACGCGTTCGCCTTATACGCACACCTCGTAGCAATACGCTATGTCTTCGACGGTTGTGCCTTATACACATATTATTTGTTTATGTCTTCTCGTACGTAATCGCTATGCTTTTCGTCTATGGTTTAATTACCCAAGTTTGAGGAAATAAAAGCCTCGGTTTTTGCGTGTGTGGTGTTATTGTAAGACCCGCGTGGCACTTCGTTGTCAAGTATATATCGCAATATCGGGCAACACACAATCCACCACACCTTAAACGAGTGCTCATTCCACTCTGCCCATTGCACATAATAAATATTCATTGAATTGTAGAATTCAACAAAACAGAACTGAGCATTTTTAATTAGTGTAAAAATTGTGCAAATTGATGTATTTAAGTGGAACCCATAACTGAATAATAGTGATTACAAGAAGCAGTGGTTGAGAACATCAAAGGCGACTTTGGTCAGAGAAGACGCGTATTATTGATCCGGGACCAAAACGAGCAACTAACTGAGGAGTAATCGATTCAAAACTGCAATAACAAGTAAAAAATATACTTGGAAATAGCATTGGTCTCTGTCCTAGAATGGCAGGCAGAAACTTTGAAAGATGCAAATCTAGATTAAGCTCAACCATGAGTGCCAAGTCAAAAGTGTTTGACACAATTTCAGGTGTTATTTCCATTGCTTTGTACACATACTTCATCAGTATATCCCCTTCATCGGGAGACAGCTTCTGAATGTTCCACCTGATATCTGCATTTTAGTGGTGGATTCTGCAGTGCAGCATGAAGCGCATTTTCGAAGCGATTACTTTGCAGATGTGAGTTCACTGTATGCTCATCAGTACTTGATAAAATATTCATTCATTATAAAAGAAGTGCCAATATTCATCAACACAAATAGTCTCTAATAAACTTATATACTTCATGTAGTGATATACAATTAGAAGTGAAGAAGTGAACAAGTAAGAGCTCATTACAACAAAAAAACTAATTTGACTTTTTATATGCACAATATAAATTGGATCCATAAACAAACAATTAGAGACATTCAAAATAGCAGTACAATAAGATTTATTGGCAAGACCAATCGGGCCGTTGGTAGATTATACTGGATAATCAAACATTAACGGATAAAACTAGCAATACAAATATTGAATAAAATGAAATAACTCACCTCAATCTCTTAGCATGAAGAATCAGGAATATTTGGGATATAGTAGGAATAATAGACATCACGAGTAAATTGATGTCAACAGAAAGAACACCACAGCAGTTGCTGCTCTTGCCAAACTAATTTGAAAGGGGCCAGAATCTCACTAGTTCGCCTCTACTCAAACATTAGCAAAGAGCAGCAATAATGGAGTTGGTAGCAAACCAATAATACTAATAGACAATATAGTGAAAGAAAAATGAAGGGAATAAAGGATACAGAGATAAAGGAAGGAACAGCAGAATCACCTCAGAATTAATAATCGGCTATCGATCGAGGAGTATGTGGAGCACAGACGACCATCACGGCCGCAGTAACGGGGCAACTCGTCCGCAGCTGCCGCACGCGGCGTATCGATTACATAAAATTGTTTCTAATGCCCGTCTCCCCAGGCGCCGCCCCGCCCGGCGCGCACGCTCGTGGGCGGGCCGGCGGACTATGAATGCAGCCATACGAAAACACCGGTAAACTTGTTCCGTTTTGATCCATTTTCAAAAAGCTACTCACAATCAGTGATATGAAAATCACTTCACGAGTTACATTCCCTATTAACATCTTTATCACAACTTTTCTACCAAAACCCTTCACTGGGCAGATTAGTTGAATGTGTTCTGATAAGTAACTGTTCCAATGAATCAGAGCACTTCGCAAAACAGGATGTTCCATTTCTACTGGATTAAGCCAAACTTTCAATATTTAATTTATGAAGTGATAGCCGTTCTTAGTTCAATCCGAATGATTTCCATCTTATACATTTCTGCGAGTCTATGGTGCACGGTCTCTTTACAGAATCTGGCTGCAGAAGCTTGAACTGGTCACAGGAATGTCCCTCGACCTCAGCGGCTCCTACAGTATCTATCGAGAAAGTTTCATCGCACCTTGACAAGCCTGCTTACTAATGGTGCCGCAGTCATAAACTGCTTACAACCTATGCACTCAGTGGCGTCCGCTATCCTCTCTTATGAGTTAGCCTAAATACGATGTAAGTATTCAATTGAAGGATTTTTGTTGCGAACACGAATGTAGTGCAGCAGATTCATAAAAGTGTCAAGCGCGTATATAGAGCAGCTCGAGAGCAGGAAATATTGTTCCGCTCATAAGAGCAGGTGCATGGAATAGGCACGAATACATTTGTGTCTCAGAATATAATCATCATTGTGCACATGCAACCCAATGTACCTTCTGCAGGAAGACTGCGCACCAATCCCTTAACAGAAATGTATGAGGTGGAATTGGCACAGTGTTCTTCGAATTGACCTGGTTACATATACAATAGAATGGTACACGTTCTATTACATGTGCAACTTTCTGAGCGTGTCCGATTGATATCGCACATTAAAGCAAGCAAGCGATGAAATGATTCGCTGCCTCAGCCACTTGAGCCACATGGCTAATTTGGTAGCCCAGTGAAGGACTAGGGTAGAAAATTTGTGATAACGATGTTAATCCGATGTGTAGCCACTGAAGAAACTTTTATGTCACTGAGAACTTTTTGAAAATGGGTTTAGGTGCTTACTCCGTATGGAGGGATGTGATTTAGTCTTCTGTGCTTTAAAGTGAAATGAGAAACTACTCATGAAGCACGAGGACTTAGACAAATAACTATTTCCTATAACCGATCACTCGCCATGAGTTTAGTATGAATTCTTTTGATGAGGTGTGTAACTTCTTCCTAAACATCGAGAATCTCATCTGAAAAGAAGAAAATACTGCCTCTTTGTTATAATTATATCAACCATCTTGCTAATGAAGTGTCTCTGGACCTTTGATTAACGAGGACCTCAACACTAAGCTTTTCGAATGTTTATCTACCACGTTCTGGAGCTCGACGGGCTGTGTTAAACTATGTACATTACAAGACGTTTTGGAGTTGACCTGCCGCCTGCACTCTCACGAAATTTGAAGTTTTGGTCTAATAGAACAAGGGCTACTGATATCTAGCGAAACATACGTACGAACCGATACACTTCGTGCGCGTCCTACCCGCCAGTAGCGAAGTTCTGCTCAAGTCTCGTGTGTTCGAGTAACATGGTTCATTACCCTCTTCTTCCAAGTTCACTGCGTGGTTCACTCAAGATACGTTCATCTCAGCATAGTCCACTCACTCCTTAACCCATGCGATCGTGTAAGTGGGATCCAGCTCTGCCACCTTCTGCTACCTACTACTAGGGTCTCCATCTAGCCACCTTACTTCTACCTGATTTGATCTATCCTTGAGCTACAAATTTCCTGTCAAACACTTATTTCCCTCTTGCCCCTCCGCTTTTGGGCGGAATCAAGTCGCCTCATTAGCATTTCCGTACTGCCACCTTTAACTCAACCAAATTCGAACAATCTAGGTTCAAATTGGCAGTTTCCGCTCACGTTCTAGCCCTATGGGCGAAGTCTAGTCCTACCGCCTGATATGGGCGTACCCTCTTTCCGTCTAAACTCCTACCAAGTTTGAACGCTCTAGATCCTTATCAACAATTTTTGCTCACGCTTCGCCCCGCTGT